AGAAAAATGCTATTTATTTATTAATTAATGAACCAATATAATAGTACAAAGACAAAAGAAACATACATATATTAACGACCATTTCACCTAACACATCTTTCTAATTGATCTATTTTTAAATAAATCCTCCTTAACATCAAATTRTGAAAACTTTACCATCTTACTATGACTGTTAAGCAAGTTAATWAACTGCTTYAGGYGTGTCCCTTTAACAAAGTCCGTCAAATCAGGTGTGTCACTTTAGAATCGCTTTTCCTTGGGACACGCCCACTCGTCCGCAGAGACCCCCTACTCCGGTCTAGCTTAGAGCTGGTCCAGCTATTCCAGAGCTATTCCTCTTATGGAACCGTTTCAGCCAATCACCTGCTAGCTTCAAATATGACGCTTGACACCGGAAGTGAATGGCGTACTTGTGCTATTTTCGAGAACTTCCCTAGATTACTTATCTTCTGTTTTAAAGATTTCTCAGCGGGATATATGAGTTTCCAYTTACGTTTAATATATCGGTATATATCCTAAGTTAACTTATATTTTTAYTTATGTCGATGCGGTTAGCCTAAGGAGCTGGAGCTAGACTGGAATAGCCAGCCACGGCACGGACTGTTGACAACGAGGCGAGAATTCGTGCTGCCATTTTAGCAAGTGCTACGTGGCGTCCTTAGTTACTTCCAGCAGCATGGCAGAGGACCACCTCAGGAAAAAACCTAGACTCAGTGAAGGACCCCAATGTTTCGCATTTAATTGCTATAACTATCGGAACGCACACTTCAAAGAACGTGGTATTACGTTTCATTGGTGAGTACTAGGGCGTGTTAGTTCACACATAAATCAAAAAGATGACATGTTCATCGTTTGTCTGTCTTGTCTAATGATCCTGAAGCGTTGTGAGGATGAACAGGGTTTGGAAAATGACCTGTTTTTCTCAGGGGCTCACAAGTTCCCCTGCTGATCCAAAATTTTGAGCAAAAGAAAATAAACTTAGCACAAAAAGTAAGGGAACCTTCACAATAATTTAAATATCACTGGAAAGTCTGTTTATTTCTACTTCTATAGTGTCATATTTGTTGAGGAAACCCATTTGTTTGTCCAAATCCTCTCTCCAAACAGCTTGCTCTACTGTTAACTTTTGTTTGGTATTGTTTATTGATCTGGATGAATAAATACTTAAGAAACAATACATAGTGTCAATTTAACAATATAATAATCTAAGGAATGGTCCTAAGTGGCATGTGGAAGAACCATATACAGCCACAACATGATTACCTCATACCACTCACAGCTTTATCACACAGCTTGGCATCTCATTCTTCAACCAGTATTTGTTGCCAGTCAGCCACTGTAGTTGTCAGTCTGGAACAAACTGCCCACCCAAGTTCATCCAACAAGGTATTTAATGGGCTTTTGGTGGGCCGTTTCATCAGAATCAAGCTTTATTGGCCATGTACGCTCTTGCGTGCAAAGAATTAATTTTTGGTTGTGGTAGCTCAGAGTGCATATAAGAATAACAAACATTGTGCACGCTGGGTACAGACGTTAATGACATTAAACTTGCAACAACCTACAGTGGAGAGAACAAGTATTTGATACACTGTTGATTTCAGGTTTTCCCACTTGCAAAGCTTGTAGATGACTGTAATTTTTATCATAGGTACTCTTCAACTGTGAGTGATGGAATCTAAAACAAAAATCCAGAAAAATACAATGTATGATTTTTNGCTAGCAGCCTCGCACCGATGACCTAGTTGATGTCATCATTTACCCAGAATGCTTTGCGTGTAAATAAAACGGCTCCGTCCGTGTTAAAATATATTTTAAAAAATTTACTAAACTAAACAGCCTACAGTATTTTTACAGTCAAAATAAATGTTCATCAAATAAAGTTTAATGTTACAACTACTCGTGGATCCTTTTTAAATCTTTATCAGCAACCAACACAAATAGTTGTACCTTTAATGTTATCTTTATAGAACTTGTTGCTCTCCTCCACAGTGCTGAAGCCAGCATACTGTCTGATTGTCCAGGGTCTGTAAGTGTACATGGTGGGATAAGGCCCTCTGGTGAAGGGAAACACTCCAGGCAGTTCATCAGCGTTTCCTTCAGAGTCCACCTTAGTGTACACTGGCTTAATGTTGATCCCTTCAGGCGTGCGCCAGATGAGATCCTCTGGGTTCTTTCCCTTCAGCTGTTTCTGAGCCAGGCTGGCCCACTCAGGATGTAGTCCGACCTGGTCCTGGCGTGACGACAACGTATGAATTGGAGAGCGATGTGTGCGGGAAGAAGAGACAGAAGCTGCAACCAGGCGGCGGGCAGCGGCTGCCGCCCAGACCCTGTGTGCCGTCAGCATGCTTACTCCTGGTTCCACTCACACGCACATGGATAACCTGGAGGAACGGATAAGAGGTTGTGGAAAAAAATTAAACAGGTGAAGTGGCGATMATGTTTTCAGACGTGCTTTATTTTTGGTCCATCAGACTCAAGATGGCTGCCACAGCTGAGAGATAACAGCAAACACAAAACTAGTCAGCCAACTGTACAGCTGTTGAGCAAAAATAAAAAATAGCAGTGGTGGTAGCTGAGACTTTTTAAAACGTCGCCACTAAGTGTTGCAGTCAACTCTGTCTGTTAGCAAAATATCTCATGAATTGGACAGAATTTAATGATCCAAACATGATTTCACATAATTAAAAGTCCCAGTTTGTATGTGCAATGTCAAAAACAGAGAATCAGTGCCATCCAGTTTATCTTAAGGTACTTAATTTATAATATTTACTGAGCACATCTTAGAGAGAATCTATTAACTTTAATTTGTTGAACTTGGCTCCTCCTCATTTACAAAATCTTCCAAAAATAATGAGAATACAGAACAGCCAGCAGTAATGGTAATTGTTTTTTTTTTATTATTGTTTCAGTGCATGAACAGAAACGGCCATGTTATTTTAACCTTAACTAAATAAGCTGAAATTATTCAGTCAAAATTGTGAAATAAACAGACTTTGCGCCTTGTGTGCGCGTTTTACAGTTACACAAACACCAGTTATCATTTGCTAAAGAGATGTTGCTGCTAAAGAAAAAGACGGTGAGCAGTCAGCAGACCACTCCTGTGTGACGCTATTAAACTGMTTTAAAAGTGTTTGAAATCATTAAATGTCAAATGCGACGTTAGCATAGCACTTCTGACAGCAAGCTAGCTATGAGAAGTTACATTTCAAATGCGACGTTAGCTAGTATAGCATGTGAAAACGAGCAAAACACATCAGCAAAAACAATTAAATCACACAGGYGTTTGGTGACGAAGTGACATTTCGAGCTACTGAAAACTTGTCGTGTTTCTTTTAACTTCATAAAGGCARCTGTTAGCGTAAGGCTACAGACGAGCAAGTCGAATTATGGTAAAAAGCTGAATTCATCATGTGTTAGAGAAACTAAAACGGACTTTGCTTCTTAAACATGTTTTGTTTGCAGTCGGTTAGTACGCTACACGAAACTTATTAAAATGTTTAGTGGTAATTTCTGACCTTGTAGTTTATTTTTTGTTGTGCTCGATTACGTTGATAAAATGCATGTGTTCACATCCAATGRGAGTTCACAACACTGAACGCTTCTTCTTCTTGTGGTGTTTAATGGCGGTTGGCAACAAACTGAAGATGTGCATTACCGCCACCTACTGGTATGGAGTGTGAATCAAGATGATTTCAGTAATATTTCCTACTATTATTGTAATTCTTTTTAGATTTTCAAAGCTATCTATTCAAAGAAAAGAAAAAATAATAACAATAAAAATAAACAAACAAATAAAT